TACCACCACATAAAATACAGCACAAGCACTTGTTTCCATTGGGCATCCGCCTCATGGGATCCCGGCCTCTGAAAAATGGGCAATCCAATCGTTCATCCAAGACATTCCTTCGCATCGCTCCACTCCTGGACTCCCTAACGCGGCAACAACCAAAGACACGCCACCCTGCTCTATCCCCCCTACAAAGTATCCTAGCAAACCCAAACGATTACTAGAAACTTCATTGGTGATCAGCACTGCAAAGTAATGACGAAAGAATCGTCGTCACGACTGGCCGGGCATAACACGCCAGTACAATTCTATGCCCCGCGCTGTGCTCACATTTTACATGGCGCAAAATCAAACCCGCAAAGCACGTGCCGTCCATCCACACCCAACTCACTGTTTGACATCGCCAAATACACCACTGCATAAAGCTAACCGCAATCCTGACGACGACACTCACCACTTCACAAAAAAACACCTCGCAGGACATATTTTGTCATTGCAATAACTGAACGATTACATATTGCATTAAAAACCCTCACATGAAAGACCACATAAATATCGCTAAATATTCCACTTGGGTGCACTCCCCAAAGACACTGCCCAAAATCCTCTTAAGAAAAGACAACACCGAACAACACCACCAGACAAACCACACCAACAGCCACCACCCACCAACAGCACCAAGCAAACTAGCACACCACAGCGCGGTCGAACCAACATAAAAGATCAAGCCACTACAAAAAAAACAACTGGAAACGCAAACCCAGCCAAAACCACACCAAGAACTCTCATTCCAAAAGATTACACCGCACACCTGGCAAGTCAAACCTATCCAAAACAACGAACAACAGTTTCCAACGCACGACACTCCGACAACAGACACCCCGGATCCACAACAGAGACACAACCTACAGCCCTGGCCGAACGACTTCCAATTCACACAAGATCCCGCGGAAAGCCAACGATTCAACGAACCATATCCGATCCATACCTAAATGATAAAGAATCCACTAAATAAACAAGATGTGCAACTAACACGTTCTACGCAAAATTAGAAAGCCTACAACTACCAACAACACACATCGTCAATGCTCGGTCCTCCAATCAACCACAACGCGCAAGACAAAGACCAAAACATCGGTCAGTAATTAACAACAACGAAAAACCGAAAACCCTACAAACCTGTTCTTACTGAACAACACAGAACAATTACCCAAACCAGCAAGAGGTTACTCATAAGATCAGGGGGCGTCCAAACATTGCGTACTGCTTCTATGAAGGAAACGAAACCCCGCACGAAGTTTAAGGGCACACTCTTGATTCCTGAGTTCCACGTTGGTAGAATTATCAAGTGTAATTTACACGTCACCAAAACCTTGGGGGCGCAAGACATAATCATAGGTCAAGAATCTCTCTTCGACCTAAGAAACAAGTTCGATTTCACTACAATATCATTGGGGTGGAACAACACATTTTTCCCGGCGAAAAATGGAAATACCAATAGAAAGGAGAAATTCCCCATTCCCGATCCTTCAGCTGTCAGCTACAATGCAAATAGTCTCAAAAAGATTCTTTATGCAACATACAAACAGACTGACTTAAAGCAGATGTGCCATAGTCGAAAACCGTTAAATAAAGAAGAGCAAGAACTGCCTCACCTTTAACCAATGCTCACCCAGCAGGAACTCGGAGAGTCGAATGACGAACTACGATAAACCGTCCCCACGCAAATCCATTATACTAGGCTCACCTACCCACGTCATACCAACCACTCTAAAAAGGAGTGAACGCTCTCGAGGCAGAAATCTCCAAGAAGTAACGTCCAAAGTGCGGCACCAACTGTACATTCCAAAAAAGGAGATCTGACATCACTTATTCGGAACCAACAAACGATCAGCCGAAGCCTACCATCCCAAACAAATCACACCTTGAACCCAGATACAATTGCCACTTACAGACCTGAACGGACACACACATCGGAGCTGAATCACCAACACACAACATTCACTCCGAGAAAGCACAGTACCAAGGTGCCAAGGCCCTAAATGTAAATCCCGACACTCCAAACGAAATGAAAACACGCCGCAACTTAGAAATTCCGTGCATACATGAATACTACCATCCTAACACCGTCGATCCGCAATCGCGTGAATATTGATCGACCTTTTCAAGACTTCAAGAAGTCGGGAATGAAACAACACTACCAAGGTCCTCCCTCGAAGAAGAACAGAGTAACTAGACAATGGACTAAACCGAGAAAGAAGACAACCTCTAACCAAAAAAAAGATAATAGATGGATCCACCTATCGCTCTCCCACCAACAGAAGGCTCGGTAGATCATGGACAAATAACCCAACCCAGCACAGACGATACCATTCGTTCTGAAACAGACTTGGGTTACCCAGTACCATCACCGGGTTCATGGACCAGAGAACGTACCCGCGTAGAGGTCGAGAAAGCTCCCGGGATGAACATGGACTCGGCAAGTCACGGCCGTCAATCGTGACAACCACCACATCCTGTTCAAAGCAAACCGGAAAATTAAGGAACGTCGCCAAACGACTATACAGAAAAACACCGATAAGGGACACGCGTAGTCCCTCATCAACACCATGTCAACATAATATGATGATTAATCAGTATCAGATCCGTTAGTACGGTCAGCCAACGCACACAGTCCTTACCACACAGACCGAGCAATAACAAGCAACTGTACGGCTCCGACATACCTACCGAATAGCGGCACAGTCACCATACTTGGAAACATAAGGTATTTAAACCCATACAAGGCCTGATCCCCTTGTAGGATTGCCATCGTGCGACACATGTCTACATCCACTCGAGAGTGCCACACCTTAAATCATATGTTCTCTTTCCGACTGATGTCGTGCCTTCCTGTACCCTTGGCATGGGCGAATGCAATACACGGTTCTTAGCCTTATTGCGAATCGATCCTAGATAGTGGTTTTTCGACTCATGACTATCTCTCGTGAATAGTCATGGAGACAGGGTTCTAATGACGCTCTAGTCATAATAGGTTGATATGAAACACGCTCTAGATAAATTTAGCCAGCGTGGAGTACTTCCACGCTACTAGATAAATGCTAGACGAATCTTCCACGCGTTTCGTTTTTGGATCGTGGAGTGAGTAGGATTGCTACCGCAACCTACTCTATCACACTCTACAGTCTCCCGCGGGAGTTCAGATCTACGATCCTTTGGTTGTGGATCTCTCTCGTTGATTAGTTTTCATAGCTTTCTAATCCTCTCATAACTTTCATTCTCTCAAACTCAAAACACTCGAAAGATCTTTACACTAGCTTTTAGCGTAGTGCAGGTGGTCTCAATTTTCTCTGACATGAACAGATAGACAAGTAACACATCCACAAAGTACCAGATAATCAACATGCTGAAGATGTAGCAGGTGAAACCACCATTTGGCATTGAAGTGGGGGTGGTGTGAAAAGTGAGGGCAATGGCAAAGACAGCAAAGAAGTAATGAAGGCCTTTTCGCACTTCATAGTTCATCTTCAGTTTGAGGGTCTTGAACATCATTGGAATGCAAATGGCAATCACTGAGATGACCATTGCCACACCTGAGCTGCCTGACCAATGGTGAATGAGAAGTGATAGATTGCCTTGGTCTGCCCAGCGTCCCACATGAAATATGGTATGAAGGATCCCATCAACAGCAATTACCCTGCCACAATAGCTGTGAAGATCATGGAGATCTTGATTTATCCAGAGAACCAGTGGGGTTGCTGACAGTAGTGTCATGGTGAACCGAAACTTTGTGAAGAAGACCAGAATCAAGGCTAGTGGAAACATATTTCATCGAAGTGAGAATCATCAATCTGCCAAACAACTTTTCCTCGCTATTTGACTTTATACCGTACCTGGATACTGGAAACCGAGAACCATCAAAGGAAAATGAAATTAGTCTAGACAATCCGTTCTAACCAAAACTGTCAATATCCAAACACGCACTATCCTACCATGAAGAAAGCAGTAAAGCGAGTGATGGCGACACATGCCATCTGGAAGTCGTTGGTAGCAACCACAGCTCTACGAGCCCCTCGAGTCAGAATGACACCTTCTTGTGTTCTCTCCTCGGAGGCAGGATCGATGATGTATCCAACTGAAGCAGTGACAAAACCACCCCAATCACTGAATGTACCAGTAGGCACAAACGTGGCGATAGTGATATACACACCCAGAGCAAGCTGGAGCACTTTGAGCTCCCAATATTTGAAGAGGGACTTCTTGATCATTCGATAACGGACATGGTCTGTCGAATTCTTGAACGAATTTGCCTTGATACTTTCGGCTTCTCTTGCTCCCTTTTCGACATCCTCAGTGCTCGGCCTCACCAAGCCATAGTCGTCCTTTTCTGTCATCATCCTTTTTCTGCTTTTAGCGCCAAGATAGCGTCCTCCAAACTCAAAAATGGAACGCGGAACCTCCAGAAGCTCGTTCAGCAACAAAGCTAGCTAGGTGGAGACGGTAGGATTTGTGTGAATAGGTGCGAGCTGCGGCTTGGGAGACTTGAGAAGTGCCTTTAGAAGAGTGATGTTGCTCTGAATTTTGATGCTGGCAAAAGCGATTGTGCGGAACCGGTACATGTACCGGTACCGGTACAAAAAGTGTGGAGACGTGGGTACCGCTACGTAATTTTAACCCTTCAATTTCGTTCACGGGTGTACAACGCATTAACTTTCCATCGGGACGGCCTAAATCTGACCAAACCAGTTTGAGTCATATCTCATATCTTTTACAAATCTTTTACAAAAGCCGAATGGAATCGAATCTGGACTCGACTCGTCACTCGGGACACCCAAAACATCACCTGATGCTGAAAGCAGACTAATTACCGGTACCAGGTACCCAGGTACTACCATACAGCCGGTACTGTAGAGAGCTGTACTGTAGCGGTGCTATCATACTACATGCACGCATGTGATGTACCGGTAGCAGAAGAGTGGTCCTTGCCTCCGCTTTCACATGCCTGCCAAGCCAGATAGAGCACCAAGCCTATGAAAGTTGAGGTGCAGTCAGATCAAATCTATAGCAGCCAGTTGGCTGGACCTGCAATTTCTGTAGTTTTCAATGGCTTTCGGGGAGTGTGCCATAGAATACTGAAGAGCTCCACCACAAAACTCCCGCAATACAACTAACTGTGCTTCTGGTGACCGAACCTGTGGGAATCATTGTTGTCGAGGGAAGGATCGATGTCCTCATGCCAGATACTTGACTGTTTGATTCGGAAGGCGTTCCATAAGAGCGAGATAAGATGATGATACCAACCCGAAGTTTTGGGCGACGGCGGAAGCCCCAAACGATAGGATGGATGAGCCAAGCGCCCTGAATCTTTACTTCAGATGATATATATGTCAATCCACTCCCTGCGTGTTTATCTTCACACCAAGGTACGGTAGCTCGCAACTGTATATTCCATTTTCTCCGGTAGTGAGACATCCGGAGATGCTAGCTAGCTAGCAGTACTTTCATGTTGCGTAGTATCCTTTCTATAGGTTTAGTTCTAATAGTGTTCTTTACACTGGTAGGTACATGGTACATTGCACACTGGGATGTGATCCAGCAACCAAGCAGCGCCCAACGTCAACTTGTGTATTTACAGTCGGGGAGTATTCCCACAGCTCTGCTGCTCCACGTGCAGGCATTTGTTTTTGTACATGCTCACTTCACGTGATGCTGCCGTGGTTGGGTCGATGGCGTTCGTATTCTGTACAGCTGCTTGATCTATTGACAAGTAAGGATCAGCCCTGGAATGGCTGGAGTTAATCGTACACAGATTCGTGACATACTGGATAAAGGGTGACAGGTGTTCCTCAGCCTAGTAACACTCGATATCCACAAAATGGCCCCAAGTGCCAGCGGCATCCGCTGTGGGTGCAGGTAGGAATGATGAGGCAGCGGTCATGGACGGTCTTCTAGAGCTGCAGCTTGATCCACTGCTTGTGCTGGAGTGCCTTGAAGAAGCGCTACTGATGGTAGAACCAAATGCTCTGCTCCTCGAAGACGCCAGTAATCTGGATTGTTGTTGCGAACGTCGCTTCAAACTGTTGGACAAGATGGCGGGCATGGTGCTTTGTCGGGATTGTTTTATGAAAGAATGAGGTTTGGTTCAAAAAAGAGATGGGATGAGTTTTATGAGCTCTCTTCAATCAGATGATCCTTGCTGCAAGTCGTAGGAGCAATTGGAATGGTTGCAGTGGAGTTTGCATTCGAAAGATAGCAGGTCTTGGCTTGCATGCCCATCAAACAGACATCAACTGCCCGTCAACTGCCCAGCATCGCCACCTACACCTTGCATTTGGCGTGCTGACGTTGACCCGTCAAACTCACGATTGGTGTCCTTTGCTGCATTTTCTCACTTTTCCCAAGGCGTCATCGGAATCAAGACATGCGAATGTCGCATCGCGAGAAAGTGGGTGTCAAGACGATGACCACGTAAGTATGAATTCACCAGTTCCCTAATGAGTTCGTTGAAGCGTTTCCGAGTCGGCATTCCACTGGCATTATGACTTTCTACCGTTCGTAATGGGCATTAGAGATGCCGATTCGCAGGAGAAGTCTTAAGTCTCAAGCTCTTGAAGTCGGTCAGTTCGGGTTCAAGTCTTGAAGTCAGAGCTTTGAGATTACTAGCTGAGATCCACAAGCTAACACAACCTTTCAACCTTTCTGCAGCTCTCTCTAGCTACTAGTCTGCCGCTCTATCTTGCATGGACTCCTTGAAGCAAAGCCTGAAAGACCATCCACTGAGAGTCTGGGCTATTCCTCACAACACAGCTGAATGACATGGCTGCCTGCTTGATGTTGAGGAAACTAAACAAAAAGAGTTTCCTCTGCAATAGTTTCTTGCTGCCGTGAACCCTGCCTTGTGCCGGCGGCTTTGGTGGTCGTTAAACTTTACTATTACCGGTACTCTGCACTTGCAACCGGGTACTCCTGAATGGTTCCAATGCCTTTTGTTTGGTGTGGATCTGCTTGGACTGAACAACTCGGCAACAGCCCTGAAACTTGGAATTGGATACATGCAGTTTCTGCATATCAGTAGTGGATAAACTTGGCATTGAACATCCTAACTATAGTGAGTCTACTCAAGTCATAGTTTTGTTGTTGCTGTACATGTATGCATTGAAGAGGCAGCAAAGGCCAACGGCTACCTACAGATTACAAATTTATTTTGATACTCCTCCGGAGCCAGAGTAACACCGTACCGGTAATGCCTTTCGTGGTCTTTGGAGTCACTACCGGTATCAAAGAACCCTAAAAATGCCCAGAGTTCTTGAGAGGAAAAATGAAAAGATCGGGTGACATCCGTTGACGTGGTACCAGTACTATAGCCTCTTCTGTAGTCGGCTTTCGGATGACGTGGTCGGGACTTCGAAAGATACTCTACCGATTTCGCCGGTTGACGCAAAAAGCATTCTGTTGGATGCTTGAGGGATGGCGGCCAGTCCCAGCCAGCAGCAATCAGCGTCAATCAGCATCATAATATCCAAACCAATTCAAAGCAAAGGTACCAGTTCTTATTAACTATCTAATAGTCACCATGGTCCTCGAATCCTTTCAACCACTCAAGAATAATCACAGCCAGCTGTTGGGATCACCGTCCATGATGCGAAGAGTCAGTACTTGCAGCAGCAGTGGTTCGACAGGAGGGGTATCGTGTTTGAACCTCTCCTCGCTCAACTTGAGCGAGAGTCATCAGTCCGGTGCTCAGCTCAGTTCCTACTCCTCTTCTTCGATGGCTCAAAGCGGTTCCATGATGAGACGCGGGTGGGGAAGTACAGAAACCAGAAGGGCTTCTACCTCTCTGAGCACAATGGCAGGGACTGCGGAAGACCATTCTGGCAATGGTTGGACGGCTGGTGCTGCCTGCGTTGTGCCCAACACCAATGCAGCGCCTACCAACAACAATGATAAAGACGGATGGGGCTACTTTGTTGATGTTGCCGGAGATGAAGACGAAGACGCCCTGATGTGGTGAAGTCAAGAAGCACAAACACTACACACGAGCATGCACGCAACCCCAAGCAACCAACGCTGACACACAGCTATTGTTGGGCCCGCAGCCCACTGCACACACCAATCACATTCTCGAGAGAAGAAGGCCAAGACGTCTCACACTGTACAAAGACAGAAGCATCCTTGGGATGGCCCCAATTGCAAATACAACCGCTACCCAGAGCGACGCGCCTACACTGTAGGATGCACCGATTTTCCCATACAAAGGCTCATAGAAATCAAAAGTATAGACAACCACCTTGTTAAAACAAAAGCATTTGATAGCCTTTTCGTCCCCCTGTTTTGCGCAGTGTAGTTTATTCGTACCGGTACGTGGATCTTCGCGGGTTAAACAGTTACTTTAACAACAGCATCGGTTGCGTGCGGTAGAATTCATTTTCGGTTTGATACTTTACTGGTAGTCTAGTGGTGCTTGCCTGATTCTTCGAGTGGCTCAGTCTACCATATTGCACGCTGATAACGATGCGTAGCTACAGCCAAGGATGTCAGAGGAGAACGAACGACACACGAGAACGCGATACGTAGTCCATTCCTTCTCTCTCTCTCTCTCTCTCTCTCTCTCTGCCTTCCGGACATCAAGGATTCCTGCCAATACTTTCTTTATACATTTAAAAAATGGCGAAGCAAAAAAGTGCCAGCAGATGAAAACTATTTCCCAATCATACTTCATTCTTTCTATAGAGGTGGACCAGGTTGGGTTCATTCGATATTCACTCCAAAGAATTCACTCCCTTCGTTCAAAGACTTGAACGCTTTCTACATTTCTCGATCATCCTTGATCACGGCCCAACTCGCGAGGGTGACCTTTTGTTTGTCTTCGGAGAGTTCGCAGTCAAATTATCCAGCGCAAGAAGTGCTACATTGTTGTCTTTGTTGTCTCTCTCTCTCTTCGGGACATCACGGATTCCTGCCAATCTTTTGTTTGTACATATTGAGAATGGTGAAGGATAGCTTCAAAAAGCGCCTGCAGATGAAAACCATTCCCAATAATACTTCATTCTTGCTAGAGGTGGATCAGGTTGGTATCATTCGACTATTCACTCCAGTCGTTCAAAGATTTGAACGCTTTCTACAGTTTCCCGATCATCCTTGAATATGGCCCGACTCGTGAGGGTGATCTTCTGCCGATCTTCAGAGAGCTCCCGGTCGATGAAGACATTGTAGTTTTCCGTGACCGCCTCCTTGATTCCCTGAATCCCTTTCCCATTCTCCAGGTATACCATTCGATCCTGGAATTTCCGCCCTCGTACGCTAACCTCAACCGGTGGGCCCCCAATGACATAGGTTGTTTGTGTCACAATTATCCCTTCTATGCGAATTGTGACACGGTTGCCTCTGTGAGTGATTCTGTGGACCGGACGTGCTTTGCATGCAGCCTGTCGTAGAAAATATGGGACACCTATTGGAAGATTGCACAAAAAGACACTTTGGGTGAGTGCTACGATAGTTCCCACAGTGTCTTCTCTATTGGTTGGTTTCTCACCTTGAATCGCCAAGAACTTGTCAAAGTTTTCCACGGACACCAGCTTGTATTTTCCAGTCATATCAATGGGTTGCTCGGCATCTTCCCCACTCATGACAGTTCCAACATCGGATTCCAAAGCATCTTTTTGCTTTTGTTTGTGACCCTGTTTTTGCTTGGAAGCATCTGTCCGTTGTTTGACCTCGGGCACAACGTGTCGTTGAATCACCAAGGCACTCAGATATGCAAGAACACCCAGGGTGTAGAGTGGCACCAATGCATGGTCAACCAACCAATAAAACTGCTCGATAATGGCAGGAGATTGTTGCTGCTGCTGTTGACTTAGTAAGAATGCAACTGACACTACCAGCCATGGTTGCCAAGAGGCGTCATTGTTGTAGCTTGTAGATTGCATGTTGTGTTGATGGTATCTATTTTTGTGGGAGTAGCAATGACAAGAAAGCACGGAACAAAATTTGGGATAATGGGGTAGCAGGGTACTTCTTCGAGTGGTCCAAAAGGCAGACCTCGGATCATCAAAACAGAACTTCTGAAACGATTGCTTGTTGTTGGATTCGGTACCACCTGAATCCCTTCAACCGGAAGGCCGAACGACTGTCACTCCGAAACGATAGACTTGTCCTGGGTCTTGTATGCATGTCAACAAGTGGAATGGAAACAGGTGCGCATGTGCCGAGTGCTGACAGAGTGCTCATTCTTGGGAAGTGCGAGCAAATATCTTACACTATCCTTAGCCCCAACATGACGTTTGACCCTAGCCCTATTCGGATATCTTTGCCGCCATTGGCGCGCCAAAATCTCTAAACACAAAACGACAATCCGGGATCACAAGCTTCTAAGTACCTTGTGTCACTATGGCAAGTGGGGCTCCGAGGACATCTTGCCGTTACAATGGGTTTGCCAAATCGAAGTCAAGCAAGTGCTCTGCTGCCACTTCGATGTCAAGGCTACCTCTAAAGGAAACAGCATCACAATGTCTGCCTCCAATGCCAACACTAACCGAGGAGGCAATATTGTTACTAGTAGAAGCACAAGGGCCATGAGAAGGTCAAATAATAGAAACAGCTATAACATTCGACGAGAACTTTCGAGCACTCTGAGCGGGAGATTGGAACGAAGGCATTTTCGGGACGAGTGGATTGACAGCCAACATGACTTGAACGTTGTCGTTGCACTGGTCACCAAGAAGGACCCCAGCTTGAAGCACATTAAAATCATACAAACCTTCCATGGGACATTGGACATTAGTCGCTTTCTGGACGTGCTGTCGGAGTCATCACAAGTCGAAACGGTGGCCTTTGTGGGTGTCAACATGGACGACGAGTACTCCATCAAGTTGGCAACGGCCATTTCAAGCTCCAAATCTAGCTTGTCTTGTCTGCAGTTATGCCGGATTATACCCTCGGGACTTGCCAAGCTCTGTCCGGCACTTTCCACCAGTCATTCCCTCAAGGAGCTACGACTTACATTTAACCATGATTTGTCCAAGAGCAACACTGCTCTCCTCATGTCCAACTTGGGAGGCAGTCAAGTTCTGGAAATACTCAAGCTTTATTGCATCGACTTGGACAATAACGAAACAACCAGCATGGTGGCAAACGCCGTCAAGTCGGCCAAATCTCTCACTGATCTAAGAATCACGAGCTGCAACTTGAGCGATATCACATGCCTGGTGGATGCCATTCAAGGCGTCAATCGGTTGGAACGAGTTGACTTGTCCATGAATCGAATCTCTGACTTTGCTCCCATTGCCAAATTATGGGAGTGCAAAACCATCACCTTCCTTTCTCTCTCCCAAAATGAGCTAGGAGCACAGGAACTTGGCTCGTCCCGTGAAAACACACTTTGGAAGGAACGGCAACGGCATTTTGACTGTCTTGCCAACAACTGCACCTTGAAAAAAATGTACCTGGACATGAACCCACTGAATCAGGATCATGTCGAGCTATTGACCAATGCCCTGCAGCAAAACACAACCTTGATGAGACTGGGATTGCTCACGCTTACCATTTCCCATGATGCGCTCAGACGCATTCGATATCTGATATCGTTGAATAGTGCCGGAAGAGGAAGGATCCAACATGGATTTCCTGACCAACGGCTGATGCCGCATCTACTGGCAAGATTTTCCAAGGAACCTCACTTGATATACGGGTTGCTAACACAGACTCCGCATGCCTGGATGTAGTGCGCTTTCATGCACGCACGCATACTACTAGTACCAACAAGTAGAAAAGCTCTTTCACTTGTTTCAAAGTAACGACGTCTGCTTCTCCTACAAGCTCAGTCGAGTCTTCTATTCATGAAATAGTGTACTCGTTACGGCAACGCTACTAGCTACGATGCACAATGATACAATTGGTCGTTTGCTGGCTGCGTGTCTACTAGCGCGTTGAAGACAAGATAGAACAGTTGCATACTGAAGATTGTCTACGGGGATCCTTGATGGTACTGTATATATCTACCGTGACTGGTAGCCACCACAGCTACTTGACCAGTAACCTGCATCCCGAGCGTTCTACAGATATCTTGTAATGGCACTAGCTAGAATGTACACTCTCGAGAGCTCAATACGAAGATTATATCTTCTTCTCTGCTTGCATACAACCTTTGGCCTTGATCTATTGTACGATACTACTGTTCAACCTCGGCAGGTAAACTGCCTGAGTTCTCAACCCCTTTAATGCTATTTCCTATTTCCTATTTCCTATTTCCTATTTTCTATTTCCTATTTCCTATTTCCTATTTTCTATTTCCTATTTCCTATTTCCTATTCCGGTGAAGCCAAAGTATAAGGATAGAGATAGTCATAAGCCAACAAAACTGAACATTGATGGTTCAATACAAGTTAGGGGTAGGAATAAATCATTAATATTTTAGGTTAGTGCAATCAGCACAACAGCACAATAAGCCAGCAGGAGCTGTAAAGGTTAGAGTTACAATAAGGGAAGGGCAGCTGGTAAATTATAGAGTAGCGGGCGGCAACACACGACGTAGTCGGGTGTTGTCGCCAGGGCTAGCTTAATAAAAAGAAGGTTGCAATGAGGGAATGAATGATACCGGGCGGCAACACACGACGTAGTCGGGTGTTGTCGCCAGGGCTAGCTTGAAAGATGGGTGCAATCTCGAATATGATCCTCCTTCTTCTATCTGTCTTTCTGCCGAGGTATCGCAGCTCCCGCTGACTTAATGGCACCAAGAGCCAGCTCAGTTACTGAAACAAATGAACTCAACGAGTTGTAACACAGCTACTCGAACTCGTCCTTCTTGTTCCAATTTCGCGCGAAGGCTCACTAGTAGCTAGATGGCGCGTTGATGCCCTCGAATCGTGCATCCATCAACCTCTTTGGCATGGGAACCCGAACCTCCGAAGCTGGGCGTCGTTCACAAGTGACACAACAAAAGAAATTCGACGAGAGGCATCAGCTTGAAGCTTACATGTATAAAGGTACCAGCTACCACCGCAAAGATATCCATCAGCATCAACAGACAAGTATCAACCTCTCCGCATCACCTATCAAGAGTGACTGAAACAATGGCCAACAACGAATGGTCAATAGAAGCGTTTTGTTCGCAACAGGACGCATTGGACGGAAGTCTACAACCGCAAAATTCTGTTTTCTTGGAAAGACTGGGTCTTTCCTCGTTGCATCCTGTGTGTGAAAGCAACCAGACATACTATGGATCCTTCAATGAAGACGTTCCCCCTGTGGGGCCATTAAACATGGACTTCCTTGAGATCCATGAAGGGTCTCCTTTGCAGGGAGTTGTGACGTATTGCTATAAGACATTTCCAGCTCTCTTGTCCGCGTGTACACTGTGGTTGCTTCTGTTCGCGGGCATCATTGCACCGCTTGGATGCATGTTTCTCATGAAAGTATCTCGTCAACAAAGCTCACCCACCTCTACCGGTACTCTCAACAGTACCAACACTGGTTCCCCTCCCTCGGCTGCCCTGATTCTAATGACAGTGGTATCATCAATGGTATTGATGTTGGATCAACTCTACGTCCATGACTTTGGCTCCAGCTATGGTACTACACTTTTTGCATTCTCCTTCGTCATGTCTCTTCGAGCCTGCAACCAGTTCAGAATGTGGAGGGTTCAAGGGTATCTAGTGATCCTGGGACTTTTCGCATTGGTTTGGTCCCTCTTGCCAAACCAGCACTCATTATCAGAGCCAGTGAGTGTGAATGAGGGTCTGTACTACGACGCTAGAAACCCAATGATCCAAAGAGTTGTGTCGCTCTGGGACCCCGTCACTCGGACATACTCCCCAGAACTCGGAGCTACGCCCTGGATGGCAACCGGGGATGCAAGGACGGGACTTCCATTTGTCCTAAACAACGTGAATGCTGCAGCCTTTCCCAATTGGGTACGAGTTTGGCTTCCTACGACAACATCCCCCGATCCAGATGTGTTGGCTTTGGATATCTCGTTTCCAGAGGAGGGACACTCACCGTCAACGCCTGTATACCTGGTCTTTCATGGCCTGAACGGTGGGAACAATGAGGGATACATTCGCGATTTGACGAAGAGGAGGAACAAGGCAGGTTCGACAGTTGTAGTGATGATTGCACGAGGAATGATGGGTAAGTGGTGGCTGCCTGCAATATGTCAAGCTCGGCAATCACTTGTACACCTCACAGCTTCCCGATCGGTTCTATGCATCCTGCAGACACGCCGGTTCGCAGCTGGAGCTTCTTCCATGCCGCACGTCTTTCTGACGCTCATGATGCTTCCAAAGCACTTCGCAGAGTCCTCGATCCCAGCCAGCTGTTGGTGGGTGTAGGATACAGTATGGGGGCTATTGTACTGAACAACTATGTGGCTCATTATGGCCCAAGAGTTGCCCTTGACGCAGCCTTTACCGTCTCAGGGGCTCTCGACGCCCGCTATCAGCTTCAAGACGAACGGTCCAGGAATTTGTGGCAACCGTTGTTGGCAGACACTCTCAAGACTCGCCTTCTGATAAACAAGCATGGTAGGAAAATTCAGGAAAGGTTGACAAATGCTGATTTAGTACAGCTGATGAGGGCAACTAGCGTCGTGGACACCGATAAAGTGTCCTCCACTGTCTACCATGGATTTGACACCGTCGAATCTTACTACGCAGCTATGAGCGCACTAGGTGATATTCCAGAAGAAGATTACTACAAGAACAGCACAATGGTTGCTTCCGGAAAGAAGATCTCCAGTGTATCAATACCCCTGTGTGTATTGCATGCCTTGGATGATCCCATAGCAAGTTGGAGGACCATTGTTTCGTCTGAAGGCTTCATGCGCCCTGAAAGGCTCACGACATCTGGAGATGGAAATTTGATGTTGCTTCTAACAAAGAGAGGTGGACATGTTGGATGGCCTCTTGGCTGGTTTTCTCCCAATCGACAGTGGGAATTCATGAACGAAGCCGTTGCAAACTTTGCTGATGCGGTTGCAAAAGCAAAGGGAGAACTCGAGACCGAGGAGTGCTCAGCAGAGAATTGAGTACTTTGGAGCAACCTCAGAGAGTACAGTAGAGTCGAGCACTTTCAAGCAGCGACAACGTCCAGGCTCCTGCGACACATCGAAGTTTGTATGTTATAACATGTATGTCATACGATTCTAACATAAATGTACCTGGTATGGTACGAGTACCTATTGGTATGGTATTATCAGGTCAATGTAGAAGATGGTCGTTCTATCATTGTATTTTGTATCAGATTCTTGTATGCATATGCATACCGATAGAGGACAAGCTACCGCCGTATCCCGGTATGTCTTGCAATACTCGTATGCTTACCGTACTGGTAACGGTACCGGTAGCTAAGAGTGCGATTGTACGGTGGTGCGTACCTTTACCCATAGCGTACCGGTACCGGTACGTACGGAAGCCCCTCGAAATTGAAGTTCTCCTTCTTTGTCTTTCATGCTTCAATCTTTGAACACTCTTCTGGCCAGAAATTCTTCTTTGCGGTTCCACGTGGATTGCCTCATGCTGACACTCCGAGATCCTCTTTTCTCTTTTCTCACTTCTCACTGCCACCATGGAACAAACGAAAGGACAATGATGCTACCTCTAAATGTACTGTCAGTGTTGGGAGCTGTGGTGTTATCTATCTTGAAAGGCTGCAATGTCGCTGATGCTTATGTTCTTCCAGGACGTTTTTCGCGAGCCCCCAGGGTTTCCTTCCAAAGATTTCGAGATGTGAGCTTTGGAAAGGTGTTTCCGTTTAGAATGATGGAAGAAGAAGATTACTACGGAATATCCAAAGATTATTCCACTCTGTCGACCAGAGAGCTGTTGGCAGAACTCGACAAGAGAAACATTCGATACGCTCCCACTACCAGTCGCGAAGATTTGGAGTTTCTTTTGTTGGAGGGAATGCAAGACGAGCATGAAGATCAATTATTGGTAGATGAAGAGTCAGAAATGGCTTTTCTGATGCGAGAGTTGGCGTCAATGGGCATTCGGTTACCACGATACGCATCGCGAGATGAACTGGAGGTTCTACTTCGTCGAGCCAAGCAGAATCCTGAACGATTCATGGCGACCACAGCAAAGAGACCGAAAAGACCAAGGCCATCAATGTCGCCCACACAACGCCGCCGTCGGAGACAACACGTGGCAATTTCCAGACTTCGAAGAGAACTGAATGAATTGGGTATTCCCTGTCCACCCGGGGCGTCTCCAAAGATGATGGAGCGACTACTCCGTGAAAGTGAGGGACAATTCACGCCTGATCGTGGGCCCCCGAGAAGAAAACGGGACGTGTATCCTCCGAGGAGAGACGGACCAGAGCAGCCAGATGTTGATACAAGGAAACTACTTTGGGATGAGCTTAATCGACGTGGAATTCGATTCTCACCGACATCCACACGGAAAGAGCTGGAAAGTCTCTTGCACAATTCACAGCAGAACCATAATGCGTCTGCGAGACCACCACCATCAAAACGAAATCGTGAGAATTTCAGAGTAAATACAGATTCCGTTCCCGAAGCAAGAGCTCCAAAAGAGCAATCAGCCAACGATGCTGACAACGTTTTCGAAAAGAATGCAGACAAGGAAAGAAACGTTGGTGTTGATGTCGGTTCATCCAAAGAAGGGTCAAGAGCGCACACAGAGAGACTGACGACGAGACAAAGAAGAGCTTTGATAAATTTTCCACTACCACTGATGTCCCGAACCGAAGCCGTGAAACAACAACTTCGTCGGAAAGACGTACTAGGACGCGACAATCAGTTGCCAACTCGCAACGGCCGTCAGGTCCTAGCCGCAAGAGGAACAGTGCTGCCAGATCAGGCAACCCAAGGAACCGTGTGCAACGATCTCTTTGGTCCAAGGTGTATGACAGGAGCAAACAAACAGTAGCAGACAGTGTGAAGACGATTCCCGATTATGCAGCCAAGAGATTTGACGGTGCTACATCGCGTGTTTCCAATGCAGCTGAAAGAGCTGCTCGAAAAGCAAGAGAAGCTACACGGAATGCCAGGGACTTTTTTGCGGAAGACGAGAATGGAATACGTGACGTTGAATTTGAATATGTTACAAAAACGCCAGAGTCCACCTTCCAGCAAGGATGTCATCATTGATGTCCCCGCAGAACCTGTGGAGGATAGAACCTCGAACCGGTATACCAAGAAAGCCCCCGATAGGGAACGTTATGCTTCAAAGGCAAGAGCAGCGGCAAACACAGGTGGTTACCAGAAACGTCCTGCACGAAGCGGAAGGGAAAGAAACGAGTATCGCACTCCACAAGGCGGCAGCGATGCTCCTGCGAACAAGCAGAACCACAAACCATCTAGCGTCAGAAATCCTGCTGTTTCTAGTAGCTTGTTTCGCCTACCACCCGCAAAGTCAACTGGGACACAAGGCAGAGAAGGCAATTCCGCTTCAAAAACTCGACGAAGAAGACGGACGTCTTCTGCCAATGATGGAAGTCGTCGTGTTTATTCGCCGTATGACGAAAACGATCCATCCTCACAAGTGTATCGCGATGCCATTGACAGATTTGGAGAGTTCTTTGTAAGCGCCACCGACACAATCTTGTGGGCAATGAAGACGACGACGAGGCTTCCGACGCGGAGAATTCGACCTCTGCCACCAAGCCCGGCAAAGGTGGCAAGGCTCGAGCTGGCCGAAAGCAATCTGCAAACTGGAGGGATCGAATGGAAGAAAGATTTGATTCCATGATGGGAATCCACGATCAGGCGCT